CAGGACAAACACTGCATGATCTCATTGATATGAGGAGTATAAAAAAGTCAAGCTTACAGAAAGAGACAGTACAATGGTGGCTACCTGAGGCTGTGGAGTGGCGAGATTAGGGAGACATTGGTCAAAGGACACACCATTTCAGTTAGAAGGAATAAATTAAAGAGCTATATTGCACATCATGGTGACTACAATTATTAACAATGTATTGTATACCTGAAAATTGCTAAGAGAATAGGGTTTAAAAAAAATTTTTTTTTTTTTTGGAGACGGGGTCTTGCTATGTTGCCCAGGCTAGAGTGCATGGCTATTCACAGGCATGATCCCACTACTGATCAGCATGGGAGTCTTTGACTTGCTCCGTTTCCAACCTGGGCCGGTTCAACCCCCCTTAGGTAACTTGGTGGTCCCCCGCTCCTTACTGATGCCGAATTTAGTGTGGACACCCGATTGGCATAGCACACTACAGCCCAGAACTCCTGGGCTCAAGCGATCCTCCCACCTCAGCCTCCCGAGTAGCTGGGACTATAGGCACACTTCACCGTGCCCGGCTTTTTTTTTTTTTTGAGATGGACTTTCGCTCTTGTTGCCCCAGCTGGAGTGCAATGGCATGATCTCAGCTCACTGCAACCTCCACCTCATGTGTTCAAGAGATTCTCCTGCCTTAGCCTCCTGAGGAGCTGGGATTATAGGCATGAGCCATCACGCCCAGCTAATTTTGTGTTTTTAGTAGAGATGGGGTTTCTCCATGTTGATAAGGCTAGTCTCAAACTCCCAACCTCAAGTGATCTGTCAGCCTCAGCCTCCCAAAGTGCTGCGATTACAGGCGTGAGCCACTAAGCCCAACCTAAGAGAATAGATTTTAAGTGTCCTTACCACAGGAAATTAATATGTAAGGAAATTCCACAATGAATGCATATGCCAAAATATCATGTTGTACACCATAAATATACACCATCCCCCTTGGTACTGTCGTGACAGTGAGTGAATTTAATTTTTACTTGTCAATTAAAATAAATACATTAATTAAAAAAAAAAAAAGCAACAGAAAACAAGTGCTGGCCGGGATGTGGAGAAGCTGGAATTCTTGTGCACCGCTGGTGATGATGTGACGTGAAGAAGCTTCCGTGGAAACAGTGAGACAGCTCCTGAACATAAGGCCGGGTGCGGTGCCTCACGCCTGCAATCCCAGCACTTTGGGAGGCTGAGGCAGGTGAATCTCCTGAGGTTGGGAGTTTGAGACCAGCCTGGCCAACATATAATGAAACCCCATCACTATTAAAAATGCAAAAATTAGCTGGGTTAGTGGCGTTTGCCTGTCATCCCAGCTACTCGGGAAGCTGAGGTGGGAAAATTGCTCAAACACAGGAAGCAGAGTTTGCAGTGAGCTGAGATCCCTCCACTGCACTCCAGCCTGGGCGACAGAGTGAGACTCCATCTCTCAAAACACACACACACACACACACACACACACACACACACACAAGGTAAAACGTTTGAACATAGAATTACCATATGACCAGCAATTCCACTTCTGGGTATGTACCCAAAAGAACTAAGGTAAGGGTTCTAACAGATATGTGCATGCCCATGCTCCTCACAGCGTTATTTACAACAGGCCAAAGGTGGAGATAACCCAACTGTCCTCATCAGTGGATGAATGGATAAACAAAATGCGGTCTATCCACACAATGGGATATAACTCAGCCCTGAAAAGGAATGATGTTCTGATACGGGCTATACCATAGTTGCATCGTGAGAACAATCAGTGAAATAAGCCAGGAACAAAAGGACAAACACCGTGTAATCCCACTTACACGAGATACCCAGCGAAGTCAAATTCACAGAGGAAAAAGTAGAATGGGAATCGCCAGGGATGGGCAGGGCGAATGGGGAGCTGGCACTGAATGGGTGCAGAGTTTCTGTTCGGGAAGATGAGAAAGTTCTAGAGATGGATGGTAGTGATGGTTGTATAATATTGTGAATGCACCTAATACTGCTGAATTGAATTGTACATTTAAAAATGGTAAAAACGATACACTGTGTGTTATATATATATTTTACCACAACTAAAAAAATAGATGTTCAAGGTTGCCCAAGAAAAGAACAACAACAAAACACCACCACCCATGTGTGCCCATGCATCTTTGGGTCAGATGCAGCTCCTAGATTCTCTCTTCAATGATAACATTCTGTTTCTGCCAACTCTGTTTCTGAACGAAATCTGACACAGCTGCCACTGGCCTACTCCCTGAAACTACCACAGAATCTGAATGAGCCTCTGGCAGGCCCTCTGAGGAATCTTGCGGCCATGCTTCCGTTACAATCAGCACGGCAACACAGAGGCCTATGCCGTTTGCTGTTGTTGTTGCTGATTTTTGAGATGGGGTCTTGCTGTGTTGCCCAGGCTGAAGTGCAGTGGCATGATCTTGGCTCACTGCAACCTCCACCTCCTGGGTTTAAGTGATTCTCCTGCCTCGGCCTCCCAAGTAGCTGGGATTACAGGCACATACCACCATACCCGGCTAATTTTGTATTTTTTAGTAGAGATAGGGTTTCACCATGTGGGCTAGGCTGGTCTCAAACTCCTGACCTCAGGTGATTCCCCCGCCTCGGCCTCCCAAAGTGCTGGGATTACAGGCGGGAGCCACCACGTCCAGCCTGCCTAACCCTTTGAATACCACCTGAGTAACTGACATGCTTTGGATCTGTGTCCCTGCCCAAATCCCTGCCCAAGTTGAATTGTAATCCCGAGTGTTGGAGGTGGGGCCTGGAGGGAAGTGATTCATGGGGGTGGTTTCTCATGCAGAGTTCAATACCAACCCCCTTTGTACTGTCGTTGTGACAGTGAGTGAGTTCTCAAGAGATCTGGTTGTTTAAAAGTGTGTAGCACCTCCCCTTCTCTCTCTAGCTCCTGCTATGTGAGATGTGCCTGCTCAGCCTTCACCTTCAGACATGATTGTAAGTTTCCTGAGGCCGCCCCCACCCCAAGAAGCCAAGCAGATGCCAGCATCATGCTTCCTGGACCACCTGAACCTGAACCACGGTCCAATTAACCTCTTTACAAATTACCCAGCAACGTGAGAAGGAACTAATACAGTAACGCATTTGTCTTTGACTTTCTTCCTTCTTTTAGTGACAGTGTGTGTGCCGAAATGACTCTTGAAGAAGCCTTCATTCGTGAGGACACCTGGTGCCCACAGGGGCTCCTGGGGCAGTGTTTGTGGCAGGTGAAGACGCTATTACAGAATTTATCCTCCTTGCCAGAAAAGAACTCCCAGGCAAAGCAGAGCTGTCTTATAGCCCAAACTGGGGCCCCTGTTTCAGGCCTCTGGCCACGGGCTTGACAGCTGGGTTCTAACCTTGCTCTTCCTAGTGCCTCCCGTGTTCACTCTCCAAGTTCTGCTGATTTTCTCGGTGTCTGCCTCTCCAATCCCAGCTTTGCTGTCTGCTCCACTCTGGACCCGATTTCTGCCCCTCCTTGCCTGTCCTGATTACTCAGGGCTTCAACTACCTCTTCGCTTCTGACAACTCCGTCTATTGCTGACAGGTTGGTTCATCTCAAACACCTGTCACCTCACGGCTCCTGCTTCTGCACCTGTGTGCACGGCACCCTCCTCCCAAAGCTCTCTTCCCAGTACCACCTGCAGCTCCTCCAGCTGCCCAGCTGTTCAACACGAGCCGTGATGAGCTCACACTGGCCTTTCCTTCTCCACCATCAGCTTAGAACCAGCCACAGCTCACAACTCCAAGAAGTCTCTGGGCCATACGGAGGAGAGCGTCACCTTCACGTCTCCCAGGACTCTGCCAGTGCGGAGCTGGTGCTCAGGCACGCCCTTCACCGCCGTCGTCATCCTCTAAGCAGCTGTTCCTCCTGTCTGCACTGCTGAAACACCCCTTTCTTATGCTTCCAGGACCCGTTCTGTCTTATAACTGTTTTCTGGGTGCCAAGCTTGCTCCCTCCTCTAGCCTAGAGACCAAGGATGCCCCAGTAACATAGGACTGGTGAGACCACCTTACATCACACTGTGCTCTTCCTTGCTTCATACACCCTCATGTCACTTCCTGTGCATATTTTCTGCCTCCTTGGAGAGGCTGTACCCCCAGAGCTCCGGGGTGAAGAATAACTGTCCTTACAGAGTTACTGGTGCTATCCCACTGCACACTAGCATGAGGGGAGGGCTCAGGGAGGCTTTGCCCATAGAAGGCTTCAGGAGTCGCCCGTTGCCGTGGATGCTGTGTTTGTTGAATCCCAGATGCCCAAGTGAGACCCCTGATTTGTGCTCCCCAAGGCCACTGACACACTGAGCTTCCTGGCATCAGCTTGCTGATACCAGAGTTGGGGTTCCTTTCAACTCTACTACAGTTGAGCCACGCTAACGAACGTGGCTCGGTAGCACCATGTTCACAGACTCGTCAGAGGCACACGCTTTGCCTTGCCTCCTGCTCCCCTCTGAGTGGCATCTGGAGAAGAGGTGACTTCATCTTGATTCAGTCCTCCCAGTGTGGAGAGACCTGCACCCGTCAGCGAAATGGATACAATGGGAGGTGTCTGGAGCCTTTCTTCGCTTTCCCCAAAGGAATATCTGACAAACCCAGGCCTGGTTCAGAGCTCCCCCTCAACAATAATCCTGTCAAAATATCTGATGCTGTGGAACCTCGAAGGCACTGTATCACACAGCAGAGTGACTGACCTCATGGCTAAATTCTCTTTCCTGCTTATTGGCATGACGATGGAGCTAAATAGAGCCGAGATGAATTATGAGTCTATTTTTGGAGACTCCTTACAGAATTCATGCACACTGTGTATTCTGCATCCTTTAAACCCTTGGGCATGCTTAGAACTCTGAAGCAAACACTCATTTGTAAATGTTACAGCCGCCAAGGTTGGCTGGATGCTCTGCTGGGTGACGTGTTAACTCTCTCAAGGCTGCTTCAGAAGCAGGAGGAATGTTTTGAGCCGAGCTTCGGGCGGAGGGTGGGGCTGACGCACGTACACTTACCTTGACCCTGTCCATACAGGCTTCCATCTTTAGCTGCTCCACAGCTTTCCTGGCTTGGGAGATGCTAGTGGTGCTGTTATTGGACATGCCCTCTTTCATTCGACTGCCCCTGGAAGTAAGGAAATTTAATGGGTTAGAAGAGCTGCTTTTCCAAGGGTCACTGTGTCCAAACCAGGGAGCATCTGGGAGCATGGGCAGTATTCGGCAGAAAACCCTCCTGGGATTAAAACGAATGCCTCACTAGAGTAAGAGAACATGATGCTTTTGTTTGGAAAAACTTTCTCAGTCCTGGGAAGAGTGAGGAGAGAACAGATGGTTCCAGAGTGAGCTCTCCGTCACCCCCACCGCTGCCGCCACCATCGCCACCATGACCATCGGTCATGCTTGGACATTTGCATGGTGCTTTGTGAGTCATCAATCACTTTCACACATTTGCTCATTCATTCCTCTAGCAGCCCATAGAGTTGGTGAGACAATATTAACTTCTGTTTTGCAAATGAAGGAAGTGCAAAAATCAGAGAAATTAAGCCAAGAGTCAAAGGTCCCACAGCCACATGTGTGAATCCAGAACCCAAACTCAAAGCTTTGAAGCCAGCTGAGTGTCTCCAGTGGCCTCTCCTAGCAATCGATGGCTCAAAGCCCGTTTCTAATGAAGAAAATTACTTTATTATTCATTTTAATTTGCCGTACTTCCAAAAAGTTTACAGACTTTGTGTTGGGAGTTTTTCAACAATACACACACACACACACACACACACACACACACACACACTCTCTCTGTCACCTCTATCCTCCCTCTAGATTTGTTTTCTAGAGGGAGGTGGAAGAAATTCTCCCTAACCCAACACACATTGATGCCCCATGACTAAGAGCACATAATGCTACCTGTGTCACAGAAACCACGTGCTACCACATCACTGTTACCCCCTCTAATGAAAATCTGCCTCACAGGAAGCCTAACCACTGGAGCCTGGGAGCCGGGGACAGGCCACTGTGAGCAGAAACACAAGTGGCACTAGCTCCCAATGGTGCAGATGTGGGAGGAGGTGGCCCTGGCTAGCATCTTTCATTTGTTTGCTTCTGTTTATATTTTATCTCGGTTTTAGGTTTGTTCCTGCACCTCACAATTGTTGAACTTTATTGTATTAATTTGAGTATGTAAAGCATCAACCATACTTTCAAAGTTAAAATGATACAAATTGATATTCTCACAGGTGGGGCATGTGGCGGAGGGCACAGCTCATGTTACTGGTGGAAGCAGCAGAGCTGACCCTCGGCCCCATCAGGCCCCTGCAGCTGCCCCGCCTCGCTCCTTCTCGGGTAGTGTGTACATGGCCCTGATCCCCCAGCCCTTCCTCATTCTTCCTCTGCTCACCAGGAAGGGCCATTTTCCGCCCGTCCTGCCCTCCCTGCAGAGGAGAGTTCTGGCTGGAGGCTGCCCGTGGGAAGGTCCCGCCAGCACACTGTGCTTTCTTTGTTGTGTCTATGAGACAACATAAGCAGGTGGGGGCCCCTCTGGGGGTTCCATCCCTCCATGTCTCCCTCTCAGGCCCTGTGTGTGTGCCCACCCTCCAGCCCATGCCTGCCACACGCAGCCTAGGCCCTTGGACCTGGCCTCCAGCTGGGACTGAGCTCTGGGACCCCAGCCTCTCCCTCGACCCCTCCTCTGCAGCTTCCTCCTCTCCTGGCTCCATACTCAGCCTCCACAGCATGACCCAACGCTGCCACCACTGTCTCCCAAGAGCCGTCTGCCTGTCTGGCCCTTTTCTCTGGCACTAAACCCTGCCTCAATATGGACCCAACTCCCCCCATCTCCACACTCACTGAGGGGCTGCTCAGTGCTGCTGGAGAGACCCCCCAAACTGTCCATCAGACATCCACACTCCGGCCTTCACGGGGCCCTCAGAGCTACCCAGAAATAGGACCCCTTGCCCAGATCATCTCCCCTCCCTTCATCTTCCTCTTCCAGTCTTCATCTCTTCCTCATGGCCTCTGACCTTTCCTCCTCGACAGAGGACCTCAGCCCCTCTGTCTACACAGAAAGACCATTAGGACAGAACCCTTCTTAATGGCCACAGCAGCTCACACCACGCCCGTAATCCCAGCACTTTGGGAGGCCAAGAAAGGTGGATCAGGAGGTCAGGAGATTGAGACCATCCTGGCTAACATGATGAAACCCTATTTCTACTAAAAATACAAAAAACTAGCCAGGCATGGTGGTACGTGCCTGTAGTCCCAGGTAGTCGGGAGGTGGAGGCAGGAAAATTGCTTGAACCTGGGAGGCAGAGGTTGCAGTGAGCCGAGACCGTGCCACTGCACTCCAGCCTGGCAACAGAGCAAGACTCTAAGAACAAAATACAAACCGAAAAAAGAACCATTTTAAACAAAGCATCTCTTCCTTGACTAATTGCAAATCAGAAGATCTTTAAATCTATCCACGACCTGTGAGCCCTGGCTCCAAGAAATCCTGCCCTTTCAGGCCAAAACCAGTGTGTAACCGCCGTGTGTTGATTTTACAATCCTCTCCTGTAACTTCTGCTGTCCTGAAGATTTCCTCTGACTTAAAAAACCCTTACCTGCAAGCCACCAGTCAGGATTTGAGCATGAGCCACCTGGTCCTCCTTGCTTGGTGCCTTGCAATTAAAAACACTCCTTTTGCCAGGCGCAGTGGCTCACACCTGTAATCCCAGCACTTTGGGAGGCTGAGGTGGGTGGCTAATGAGATCAGAGGTTCAATACCAGCCAACACGGTGAAACCCCATATCCACTAAAAACCCTCCTTACTCTCACTGCAAGAACTTGGCGTGGATATCTGGTCTTACCACGCTGGGCAAGCAGACCTCAGTTTGCTCTGTAACATTCTTTTTTTTTTGAGATGGAGTCTAGCTCTGTCGCCCAGCCTGGGGAGCAGTGGTGTGATCTGTGCTCACTGCAACCTCCACTTCCCGAGTTCAAGTGATTCTCCTTTTCAGCCTGCTGAGTAGCTGGGATCACAGCCATGCACTACCACCCACTGCTAATTTTTTGGATATTTAGTAGATACTTGGTTTCGCCATGTTAGGCAGGATGGTCTCGAACTTCTGACCTCAGGTGATCTGCCTACCTTGGCCTCCCTAAGTGCTGGGATGACAGGTGTGAGCCCCTGCGCCCTGCTGTGCTGTGTAACATTCTGATGGGCTGCGTCTGGCGGCACATAACTCAGTAAATGCAAAGCGGGGCTGGGAGACCAAAACAAAGCGCTTGCATCTCATCAGACTTGACTTGGGGCACAGTGTTTAGAATTTCTGGAAGATGGACGGCATTGTGGCTTTGAGGCCATCCTCCCTAACTATGACTTCTGTCCATGTCAGCAGAGTACGGAGGCCGGCCTTCCCGGAAAATGCCTGAAAGACGGCTATTGCCAGTGATGACAGACCCCTGAACCTGAGGGGACCCAGCAGCTTAAACTGAGGGTGGAGAGGGAGCAGGTGGCCGACCTCCTCTCATCCCTGCTGAACCAGGACGCTCACTGCAATAGCAGCTCTTTTCTTACAGCATGGTTCCCTAGCCAGGGCCCAGCAGCTCTCGGCGACGGCTCCCCTGCTCCCCCAAGAGGGGCACATCCACTCACACAGGGGATAATGGGAGGTGGCAAAAGGTTTCTAAGGGCGCTGTGTCTTCCATGGAGGGTGGGAGAAGGCGACAGGACAGCAATGGTTGCCAGAAGAAAATGATGCTTTGAGGACCTGCCCACCATCAAGGATCCTGAGAGCTGAGTGTCACCCAGGCCCCCGCACATGCTCCTGGTGAAGATACTGCTCTCCCTCTGCCCCTGAACGGGGTAAGTCACCCCCTCTTACCTGCTGAGAGGCAGCCCTGTGACAGGCCTGGGCAGGGGACAGAGGCTGGTGGCAGCAGCAGCAGTCGTCAAACGAGAGGCAGATTCAGAGCTGCTGCTCTGAGGTCACCTGAAAGCACAACCAGAGATGTGTCTAGAGGTGTGGGGACCCCCTGGCATTGCTCCAGCATCCCCACCCACCCCATCCCATGGTTGGTGTCTCCTCAAGCTCAGCAGCCTTCCCCACTAGCCTGGGGGGACTCCATATCTGACCTTGGGGAGATGGGGAGCTCAAGGCAGACTGAGAACCCTCAGATCTAGCAGTGCAGACTGGGAACACAGCTTCAAGGCTGCAGGCCACCCCAGGCCTCACCAGACTGCTCCCCTGGCCCCCGCAAACCTGCATGCCCAGTTGCTCTGCCCCCAACACAAGCAGCCCCAGCTACTGCCAAACTCTCCTTACTCTCCTTACTTGTGCCAAATGGAAACAGGTTATGTGTGTTTTCCTCTTCTAAAAATATACACCTATTATAGAAAAACGTGCAGATAAAGAAAATCATAACAAAGAAAATAAAGACCAATAATAATGCCTTTTCCCGGAGATAACTATGGTTAGCCTGTTGATGCATAATATACTTACGGACATTACGCATTTGATTTCAGCCAAAGGACATTTACCACAGAAGAGGGCAGACGACTTGAGAGCTCTCTCTCTTTATTTCATATTTATTTTTTGAGATAAGGTCTCACTTTGTTGCCCAGGCTGGAGTGCAGTCTCACAATCATGGCTCACTGTAGCCTTGAACTTCTGGGCTCAAATGACCCTCCCACCCAAGCCTCCTAACTGGGACTACAGGCATGCACTACCGTGCCTAATTTTTACTTTTTTTTTTTTTTGAGACAGAGTCTCACTGTTGTCAGCCTGGAGTGCAGTGGTGTGATCTTAGCTCACTGCCACCTCCGCCTCCCCATTTCAAGTGATTCTCCTGTGTCAGCCTCCTGAGTAGCTGGGACTACAGGTACCTGCCACCACACCCAGCTAATTTTTATATTTTTAGTAGAGACAGGATTTCACCATATTGGCCAAGATGGTCTCGATATCCTGACCTCATGATCTGCCCACCTCAGCCTCCCAAAGTGCTGGGATTACAGGCATGAGCCACCACACCCAGCCTTCCCAGGTGATTTCAATGTGCAGCCGTGTTTGAGACACACTGCTCAGGTCTACATCTAGCTGGCGGGTCCCACACTCTGGTGTGTGTCAGTCACCTGGGATCTCAAGCTCTCACACAACAGGACTGGTGGGGGCCCCTGGGAGGCTGGACGCTGCTACTCACAGCCTGGTGGGAGACACCAGCATCAGGATCCCCAGGAACTCGTTAGCAATGCAGAATCTCAGGTCCTACCCAAACCTACTGAGTCAAATCTGCAGGGTTTGTTGTTTTGAGACGGTCTCGCTCTGTCGCCCAGGCTGGAGTGCAGACGTGATCTCGGCTCACTGCAACCGGCGTCTCCTGGGTTCAAGTGATTCTCCAGTCTCAGCTTCCTGAGTAGCTGGTATTACAGGCATGCACCACCACGCCCGGCTAATTTTGTATTTTTAGTAGAGATGGGGTTTTATCACGTTGACCACGCTGATAACAAACTCCTGACCTCAAGTGATTAACGCCTGCCTCGGCCTCCCAAAGGGCTGGGATTACAGGTGTAAGCCATTCATTTCGCCCAGCCAGACCTCTGTTTCAACCCAGGTGATTCAGGTATACGTTAGAGTTTGAGACGCTCTGAGCTGGACCAGCGGGGCCCAGTACTGCCTTGTGCAGGGTCCAAGATGAAGAGCCAGGCTGAGGACACACGAGTCCGTCCTAACAGCGGTGGACAGCAGAGCTGCTGTTCTCCTGACCCTGAATGTCATTCACAGCCCCATCAGCCTGTTGGAGTCCTCTTTTAGATAACTCTAGAAGCTCTTTGAGAGGCCACACCTCAGAAAAGACACTATCAATTTCTCCTTGTCCGCTTGGCGTTTGCACAGCATCTTCCATCCAACGCTTGAAACGTATTTTACATGTCACCCCACCAGCCTACCCCAGGAAGTGGTTTCAGACACCTCCCCTGGTATCATTACTATTTCTCAAAAGAACACAGGTTGTCGGAGCTGATGGGAATTTAGCTCTTGGATTCCTTTATCTGGTTGCTGAAGAAAGCTTTTTTTTTTTAGACAGAGTTTCAGTCTGTCGCCCAGGCTGGAGTGCAGCGGTGGCACGATATTGGCACACTGAAACCTCCATCTCCCAGGTTCAAGAGATTGTCCTGCCTCAGCCACTCAAGTAGCTGCGATTATAGGCATGTGCCACCATGCCCAGCTAATTGTTGTACTTTTAGTATATACGGGGTTTCAACATGTTGGCCAGGCTGGTCTCAAATCCCTGATCTCAAGTGATTTGCCTGCCTTGGCCTTCCAAAGTGTTGAATAATCCCAGGCGTAGCTTTTTTTTTTTTTTCAAGAGAGAGGGTCTTCCTCTGTCACCCAGGCTGAAGTGCAGTGGTACAATCAAGCTCACTGCAGCCTTGGTCTCTCAGGCTCAAGCGATCCTGCAACCTGAGCATCTGGGGTAGTCAGCAATACACCCAGCCAGTTTTTAAATTTTTTTTGTACAGACAGGAACTCACTGTATTGCCCAGGCTGGTTTTGAACTCCTGGCCCAAAGAATCCTCCCACCTTGGCATCCCAAAGCACTGGGATCACAGGCATGAGCCACCACTCTGGGCTGAAAGCTGCTTGTTAATAGCAGTAAATTTCACCAGGATGTTTTCAAAAGCTTTTCTTCCCTCTCAAAAGAAAATATATTCATCTTTGAACAAATTGTTGTGTTTCATCGTGAGGTAGTGAGAAGACTCACTGGCTGGCCATGGGCTGACGGGGAGCCCCTCAAGGACAAAGGCCTTATTTTCTTAGCTTCTGTGCCCCCACTGCCAAGATAGGGCGGGCATGCAGGAGCTAGCCCGTATAAAGGTGACTCTCGTATGCATGAAAGAATAAACTCAGGCCTCAGCAGTGACTTCAATTCCCCATGGCTGCTGTTGTTTCAATTCTTTTTTGTTTTTTTTTTTGAGAGTGAGTCTTGGTCTGTCACCTAGGCTGGAGTACAATGGCACCATCTCGGCTCACTGCAACCTCTGCCTCCCAGGGTCAAGCAATTCTCCTGCCTCAGCCTCTCAAGTAGCTGGGATTACCGGCACCTGCCATCATGCCCGGCTAACTTTGGCATTTTTTAGTAGAGATGGGGTTTCACTTCGTTGATCAGGCTGGTCTTGAACCCCTGACCTCAAGTGATCCGCCCGCCTTGGCCTCCCAAAGTGGTCGGATTACAGGCTTGAGCCACCATGCCTGACCGTTTCAATTCTTAAATGAAGCTAAATTGGCTCCCTGGGTTACCCCTGAAGGATAATGACCCAGAGTCACACAAATGTACTGATGGCCCCACAACTTGTCTTATTTTGAGAAATAGTGACGATACAGGGAAGGTGTCTAAAACCCCTTCTTAGGGACGGGTTGGTGGGTTTCATCCATTCCAAACAATGGATGAGAGATGGGGCCATTAGAATTAATTAAATCATGTAAAAGAGAAGCCTCTAAGTGGTGCTAGGCTTTGAGGCACAGGCAGGGTCTCAGCTTTCACCGAGCTTACTGTCTGATGAGGGGTGCCATGGACTGCTAGAATCACCATGCTGATTAATGAATGCATTCTTACGAGGGAGGCGCCTGCCTCTCAGTGGATAACCAAAGAAATTGACCTGGACTGTAGCATCTACATTGCTTTCTAGGATAGGTTCTGAAACCATAAAAAGGAATGAGACTTGCTCGCCCTCAAAGAGCTCAGGCGCTGAGAGGGAGACATATAAAGAAGCAATGATTGTATGTATTGTCATTGGTGTATGTGGGCTGGCTGTCCACAGAATCCATGCCCCTTTCCCCTCACAGGGATGTCATTGTGGCAGGGCACGTGGCTCTGGGTTAGATTTTCCCCAGGGTTGCTTGCAGCTGCATGTGGCTTTGTGACTCCTGTCTTACTAACGGAGACGGCAATGATGAATGAGTGGAAATACGGGTGCCGCTTCCAGGCCTGGGCTTTCAAATCCCATCTGGGGACCTCTGAGCTCCTTCCCAGCACACGTGGAAGTGTCTGCAGCTTAACTTTAACAAGGGCAGACCAGGACAGTGGCCTGAGTGGTGCCTCCAGGTGTGGTCCCTGGACCGGAAGCATCCATATCACCTGGGAGTGTGTCAGAAACGCAAATGCTTGGGCCCACTCAGACCTATTGAATAGAAGCTCTGGGGCCGGACGTGGTGGCTCACTCCTATAATCTCAGCACTTTGGGAGGCCAAGGCGGGTGGATAACCTGAAGTCTGCGAAGTTCGGGACCAGCCTGGCCAACAATGGTGAAACCTTGTTTCTACTAAAAATACAAAAATTAGCCTGGCATGCTTATAGGTGCCTGTAATCCCAGCTACTTACGAGGCTGAGGTAGGAGAATTGCTTGAACCCAGGAAGTGAAGGTTGCAGTGAGCCGAGATCGCGCCATTACACTCCAGCCTGGGCGACAGAGCGAGACACTGACTGAAAAAAAAAAATCAGCAGCTCTGGAAGTAGGAAGCATTTAACAAGTCCTCCAGGTGGTTCTGATGCTCAAGAGAACCTGAGAAGCATGGTCCTGAGGGATGGGAGAGCAACAACATGGAAGGAGCCCGTGTCCCCAAATACCCCCTGGAGCTGAGTGGCCCCGTTAGCCCGGCTTCTTACTTCTGAGCTCATATGAGAAAGTGAAATGCATTTCCACACTCTTTAATTCACTGTGTTTCTGGGTCTCTGTCACAGCAGCTCTCCCTCTTACTTCAACGGAGGTTAGTATTCGGGGACGGCTGCCTTGAAAATGCTTTTAAATTTGAGACAAAAATCCTCATTTAAGAGTTTCTATTTGGGAAACTCAATATAATAAGTACTCAAGTCTAACAAGGATTCCAGCTAGTGAAACTGTGTTTACTTCTGGGGTCTAACATTTTACCCTCAAATTCTGTTAGATGCTAGGCCACAAGATAGCACTAAGTTCAGGCTGGGTTCTCCTAGCGAACGT